CACAAGTCCATGGTAACGGCGGCGCAGGGGATGCTAAGAATCTCCCGTGGAGGTTCGGTTGCCACCTACGATGACTCGATCTGGCAACTTATAACGGACGCACCCTGAGGACTGACGAGAGGATCCTGGCGCTGGAAGAAGACATGAACAAGTTGAGCTGGAATATGATAGGACTATCCGATGTCCGAAGAGAGGTGGAGGACACGGTAATCCTCGATTCCGGTAACTTGTTCTATCACCGCGAGGGCGACCATCTGTCCCAAGGAGGTGTCGCATTTATCGTCCACAAGTCTCTTGTTAACAACGTTGTAAAGATTGGGAGTGTGTCGACGAGGGTCGCGTACCTTATATCACCAAACGGTGTTCGCTGAAGGTCATACATGTTTACGCACCAAGCTCGGCACACCCCGATGATGAGGTGGAGGAAATGTAAATAGAGGAAATGAGGTGGAGGAAATGTATGAGGATATCTCTAGAGCCATGCATTCCTCTAAACCCACTATACGGTATTAATGGGAGACTTCAACGCAAAACTAGGCACAAGTGAGAACGGTGAGCTGAAAGTAGGGAAATTCGGAATAGGGCAACGGAACCCGAGGGGCCAGCAGCTGGCCGACTTCATGGAGAAAGATACTCAATATGATGAACTCTTTTTTCCAGGAGCGGCCCCACAGAAAGTGGATCTGGTCGAGCCCAGACGGTTCGACAAAAATGAGATTGACTTCATTATGACGATCAGACGACAACTGTTCAGTGATGTCTCAGTGATCGCGAGGGTGAAAACCGGCAGTGATCACCGAATGGTGAGAGGCACACTGAACCTAAACGTTAAGTTAGCGAGGTCTCGTCTAATGAAGTCCCCCTCGTGCTTGTAAAGGGCTGTAATGATGATGATGATGATGATGACAAGTCCACTGCTGAACATAGGCCTACCCCAAGGAATGCCACAAATCACGGTCCTGAGCCCCCTGCATCCATCGACTTCCTGCGTGTCTTACCAGGTCAGCACTCCATCTAGTGGGGTGGTCGCCCTACACTTCGCCTACCGGTACAAGGTTGCTACTCGAGAACCTTTTTTCCCTATCGGTTGTCCGTTTTTCGCGCAAGATGGCCGGTCCATTGCCACTTCAGCTTACAATCTTACCTCACATAGATTATGTTAATTTATTATGATTATCGGATATTACATAGTACTAATGCATTCATTGTAAGGTTGCGGCTTAAGGACGCGGACTTATTTTGCGAATAGAGAGAAACCCCATTTCATCCCGTGGGCGTTGTAGGAGGCACTGTTAATTTTTTACTTGTTATTGTTATTATTATAAATAAAAAAGAGCTTAAAATGCAGTTTGCTTATAGCAGCAGTTTTTTTCCTAAACCGTACTCCGCCCGCCATCCGTTGGTGTTGATAAGCACGTAATGACGATTGGCCTGTAGAACTTTCATAGACGAGTATTTAATTCCATAAAATCTACTTTCTTGAATATACGTTTAAAGACTCTTCTCTACTATTGACGTCTAAGAACTCCACAAAACTCGTATAGTGAATGTAGAAAACCGGAGACCCTTAGTACTGGAAATGAGGCATTACATCTTAGTTCTCAGGGACCTACGACGCATCTGCATTTTGATTCTTAACTGAAGATGGATGTAGATGTCTAGGTGATAGGTAGAAACCACTATGCGCTGTGGACTGTGTGCTCGTTTATCACCCTTATTCTAAAAAAAAAAACTTGAAAAAAACTTATCGTATCGAATGCCCTATCGGCGTGCTCGTGAGCCTAGCCGAATGGATAATTTATGCAAAACGCTTGCTTATTTTTTTTTAATAATAATAAGTTCTTTATTTCCAAAAGGTAGTACAACCAGATATTTGCTTAACACTTAATAAAGCTAATTTGGTACATATATTTGAAACATAGCATCTGCAGCCGAACTAGGAGACCTGTGCATCAGAATTTTGGATCTCATTATGGTGTGATTCCCTGCATCTGACATATATTTCATAAAGTAAGAAAATTCTTGTTCAACACTTATTCTACTGACTTTTAGAAGGAAGAGGTACTCAATTCGACTGTATTTTCTTTTTTTAAGTACCTCATAACTTTTTTCTGCGTAAACCGATTTCGATGATTCTTTTTGTATTTGAAAGCTAGTGCATCTCATATGATCATATTATATTGATCAAGGTCTGACTAATAATTTTTGAGTTATTCTTAATAATTTATATTGAAGTCGGTTGTACAAAATATTTAATTTTAAATTATAAGAGAATTGTGTATCTTTATTACATTACTACAATCAAATCTAAAATCTATTTCTGTTCCAAGAAATGAACTAGATCATAGAGTTTTACAAGTAAATAGAAGCATATTAACGCATGTTCACATGAAAATCGCATTCAACAAGGCGCAGGCTGTGCCGTTTATCGCAAAAGTTTTGCCAACTGCCTTCGACCACATAAGCCGGGTAACGCGCCACCAGCGATACAAATTACCAACACTAGCGTTTCCACGTCCAATAACGAAACTTCTGAACTCTATTATTAGCCATGATGCTGTTAGGGACTGTTATTACAACTATCGATTGTGGTTTCTATTCAGTAAGTCTAATGCGAATTTTAATCGGTTAAACACGCACCTGCTTTACTCTTTTTGAAATTATGACATCGTCTTTGTATATTCTTTTTTTTTAGCTTCAATTATTGTCTTTTTTTTTAATTTAACTGTATGATCGATTATAAAGCCTACCATCACTATTACGAACATATCATGCATTCGAATCAAACAATTTCTTTTCAGGTTCGTGATGCGTACCGTAAAGGAGTGTATTAATTTTCTAGTCTGTCTTTTAACAATTACAATGTGTCTTCAAGGCAAGAGTGTATAAGCTTTTGTTAAGCGAAGGCAGTCTGCCTTATTATCACCGGCTACAGCACTACTTGCCATCAAATGGGATAATGGTCAAGCACTGACCATTAATCCCATAACATAAATATAATAAAATTTGAGAAAAAAACAACATCCAAAATTTTAATGTAACTATTTAGACGACATTCTAGTCGGTAACCTTGGGCTTGTGATAGTCCTTAGTACTAAAACTAAAATAATGTCTATATATAAAAGTCAATAGCTGTCCGTTAGTCTCGCTAAAATTCAAAAACGGCTCGACCCATTTTCTATACACTTTTAAATGTATGTTTTTTTAATGTGTTTTACCTCATAACTTTTTACTAGGTGAACCGATTTCGATGATTCTTTTTTATTTGAAAGCTGGTGCTTCACGTGTGGTCCTATATAAATTTGATCAAGGTCTAACCAATTGTTTTTGAGTTATTCTTAATAATTTATTTTGAAGTAGGTTGTATAAAATTTTTAAATTATTAGTTATGATGAAAATTATTATATATATATATATATATTGTGTGTTTGCCGAGATGCTTTAGATTCACATTTGGACCCAGCGCTGTCGAGATCCAGGAATCACCCATGCGAAGCCGGGACGGATAGCTAGTTTTAACATAAAAGCTTCTTAAGTCGGAGCTTTAATTATTTTATACGTTGTGAATTATTTTATTTTTCTTAAGAAGAATGAATTAATTCATTGAAGTTAAAATAAAAACTGTATTTTTTATTTATGGTTTATCCCTTAATTTTCTGTATATTTTATATTCTCAATTTCATACATGTTTATTACAAAATTAAATTTCAATAAACTTATCAAGATGTAATGCTGTGGTTAATTTTAAATAGCAATTTCGTAACATCTAATGGCCGTTCAGGCATTCCAGTAATGAACTTGTACGGCGTACATTAACATGCCTTCAATACCGTCATTATAATGTGTACAAAATGGCTGCCCTGTATGCTGATAAACAAAGCTACTGCTATTATATATAAATACGTTTTAATACTATGCTTATATATTTAAATTTCAAATTCGTGTCTACTTCCTTTACTTTGTTTATACATTTTTTTCCATAAGACAAATGAACGTTACTAAATTGTAAACGATTCTAAAATAATAATAATGTCCTCCAGATCGAATTTCGGTCACAGCGGCCAGTCTTCAATGGAGATTAGATAGGTTAATAGTGCCCAAGTGTATTCGCAAGCACAGGTACACTCTATATTCCCTCACTCTCATAGTCCGATGGGACAGTAATTCGACAGGACCGGAGAGGGATCAGGCGCAGGACCAACGGCTTAACGTGCTTTCCGAGGCACGGTGGTGAATGAAACAGCGCCAAATTCTTGACTCCAGGTTGCTATTGAGAATTTCTTGACAGAAAAAGCAATAACTGATTTTGGCCCGACCCGGATTCGAACCCGGTACCTAGTGATCAACAATCGCGTTTGCGACCACTAGACCAACGATGCAGACAGTTTCTTATATGTCATAAACATAATACATATCAATTGAGAGTCGTGATAGGTCGGAAGATAAACGCTCGCGCTTCTAAACTGAACGATTCTACATAGTACACAGTGACTCAACTACATAGTAGGTACTAAGTACTACATAGTGAGTATATATATTATTTATATATATGTGTGTGTGTGTGTGTGTGTGTGTGTGTGTGTGTGTGTATGTGTGTGTGTGTGTGTGTGTGTGTGTGTATGTGTGTGTGTGCGTGCGTGTGTGTGTATTCATTATAATAATATCGACCAATATTTTACCCGTGGTTGTCGTAAGTGACGATAGAAGTTTTCTTAAATAGGAGATGGGCAGCAGCATCTTCCTGGTAACAACCAACAATAACTGCGGTTTCCAATCCAACTCAAGAGTGACGATTATGGCAAAATCTCTTCTATGAGGCCTATGGCGATGCTTATTTTGAGCAGTGGATTTTGGATAGGCTGAAATGATTAATGAATGAATAAAAAAGGTTGAGCAGATTCTATTTTGCCAGTTATTTTGACCTCACTTTCAACGTCTTGTACGAATAATGTTCAACAGTTCAAGAAATGATTAAGTTATTCTGTTTCAGGGTGTGTGCGATGTTCCTGCCGGAAATCGCAAGTTTCGTTGCTGCTATCTTGTTCGCCGTGCATCCGATACACACGGAAGCCGTAAGTTATCTCATTTGTTTGCTATTTATTTAATTTTTATTGTGTTACACCTTAATCTAAGGGTTACAATTAGCGGACTTGATGCCTTATGGCATTCTCTCCCAGTCACCCCTGGAAGAAACGGATAAATAAAAGTTGGTGGGTGCTAAAAAAAATGGTAAAATGACTAGACGTATAATGTAAATAAACATAAAATATATATATGCTTAATAAACGTATGCTTATCCGGTGCTTTTCTTACATCAAAATGTTAATTAATGTTATATGTTATATCTAGAAATATTCATGTTAGATCAACGCAGTCACAATATTAACATTTGGCTGACTGCAGCACGAATGCCTATTTACTCTCTACTACTCTGCCATCACATCTTTGCCCAAGGGGGGAACGCTTCTGGCATTTTTGTTTTAAATCAATGATTCTTTTTCATTTCATTGGCTACAAGGCCTTCAGCCACAAAAAATACAGCATACGCTGCAATCCATACATTTTACAAAATATAAATATTTTTAACTGCACAATATGTTGATGCGTAACTTTGCGATGTTTTAAGTGATTTTGACGGCAGCTCAACACAGCAGATAATTGATGGAGATAGTATCTCAAGTTCTCAAGACGTATAAACGGTCCAAATAACAAGAAACTTTTGTCAATATAGTAACACTCATTTCTTCGGGTCCACTAATTGTTCACACACATAGACATTCCTACCACTTTAACATCAAAATCCACCTCAATCATTATTTAAATGATTATCCGCTGGCGGCATTCAAGTTTCCGCCAAAACTCCCTTAAGCGATGACAGGTTTAAGTGTAAATGGAAGTTCTGCTTTGACACACTTCTATAAAAAAAATTGGCCGATTTCAATCATGTCGACACCTTCCGAAAATTCAGTAATTCAACACTTATTAATGCGCGGAAAAGTAACCGAAATGGAATGTATGACAAAAACTCATAAGTCCGAATATTCCATTAGAGTATTGTCGTAAACCGCTCGAAACACATGAATTTTTGAGCTTAGTTCTAGTGGTTCACTGGAGTACTGATAATTTTGTACGTGGTAGCACGAATGGGTCGGCGCGACCGGGGAAGGACCACGCTCTCACACCAGCGCAATACCAGCGCAAAATAGCAGCTTAATGCTGCTGTGTTTTGTATGGTGAGTGTAGAGAACCGGCTACCCTTTTACTGGAAAAGAGGCATTCTATCTTAGTCCTCACGGCTGCAAGCGCATCTGCATTTTAGTTGAAGATCGATGTAGATGTCTATGGGCCACAGCAACCACTTACCATCAGGTGGACAGTGTGCTCGTTTGTCGCCCTTATTCTATTAAAAAAAGGAAGGTAACTTATATTGTGTCTAAATTTTTATTTTTTCACGTAGCCTATACAACATTGATTCAATTAAAAAAAAACTGAAATTATGTAGCGTTTCTCTCTCCGGATTCAAGCCAAGAATGCTGACTGCGTTTTCTTGCTAAAATACGATTTTCACTTAGCCTTTGGGCGATAAAATAACTAACCTTCTTATCACCAGCGGGAATAACCAGCTAACAGGTCTTTACAGGAACGTCAATAAGTAATGTAGGTAAAATATCGTTTTGATTATTTTTAGTAAATAATTTTACATTCACAGAGTATAACAAAAAAATATATAAAAATATTTGAAATACTTTATAAAGTTTTACTGAGATTCCAACATCAGAATGCAAGGCCAGCGAGTGGAACAAACTTTTGATCAAACTTTTATTAGCTCTTTATAATACCAAGATGCTCCTTTTAGCTCCAAAACAGTTCGTAGCGAGCTCTTTCTATAAGTTCATTAGTAAGCTTTTTAAGTTTAGCATCTTCAACTACTTTTCCATTACCTTCAAAAACATAAAATTTTAATAGCAGTCCGTCATGCGTATACTTTATTGCCGACCTCTTATTTTCTTAAACGAGTTTAAGAAAACTTAAACAACACACATTGATTGCGCTGTGGTGATCCTGAAAATATTGTATTATAATCAGTTTTATTTATCATCATTACATCCCATCACAACTCCACTGCTGAACACAGGCCTCCCCCAAAGAATGCCACAAAGCACGGTCCTGAGCCACCTGCTTCCACCGGCTTCCTACATGTCTTACCAGGTTGTCACTCCATCTAGTGACGGGCCGCTCCACACTTCACCTACCGGTACGAGGCTGCCACTCGAGAACCTTGCTACCTCATCGGCTGTCGATTCTTCGCGCTATATTGCCGGCCCATTGCAACTTCAGCTTACTAATCTGTTGGGTTATGTCACTTACTTTGCAAAATAGCAGCTTAACACTACTGTGTTTCGTATGGTGAGTGTAAACAACCGGAGTCCTTTTTTACTGGAAAAGAGGCATTCCATCATAGACCTCACGGATGACAACGCATGTGCGTTTTGATTCTTTCTTGAGGGTAGATGTAGATGTCTATCGCTCACAGCAACCACTTACCATCAGGTGGACTGCATGCTCGCTTGACACCCTATCCTATAAAAAAATGTATAAACAGGAAACAGCACTTACATAAAACAAATAAATCATTGGCAAATTGAGCACAATAATATTAATGGTATAATGACTAGTGCCTCAGACATCCTCTAATGAGGCTCGGTCAGCTAATGATTACAAAGAGGTAAAAAACTGATATCTTGTTGCTATTAAAAATCTGTATTGGAGTATTGTATTAATTAACTGTAAACTGGATTGGACATTGTTCACTTGACATGTTTCTATTACGTTCAAACATAGAGCAACACGAGCTATCGGAGGAGTGGAGGGGAGTAGCCGATAGCGTTTTCTCCCGATACAGAACTGTCTGTCATTGGGGGAGGGGAGGCGGGATCTGCGTTAACAAAAACAATCGTTCGTCACTACTGAAACTCGCACATAACAATTAAATTAATAAACTAACAATTTCACTACACATGGATACATTATAACACTAACGTTCGGTGACATCGACAACACGAATACAGACTCGAATCAGTCGCTCCACCGATCTGCATATTGTATAACGACGAACAACCAGTGTTGGTAAACAAATCCGAATCATTACGACCGTTATTATTCTAATTTTTAAGGTGAAATAAAGTAAATGGCAATAATGTGATTAAAAATCACTTATTTATGAAAGGTTACAAAAAATGCCATCTTTTTGTAAATTTGTTGTGACAGATCTCTTTTATGGCAGCAAAAAAAATTGAACAATCCGTCATTTTTGTAGGACGTCGATTCAGCCGCGCAACTAGATTTAATCCAGTGAGCAGTGCGGCCACAACTTGTATTATTGTACGCATAGGACCGCGTGGACTTATACTTTGACAGAAGGGCACGCCTGCTTATGGCTACTCCCCTCCGGGCGTCCGGGGTCCACTTTACGTGCTTTCCGGGTGAGACAGCACCAAATTCCTGGCTCTAGGCTGCTATTGAGAATCTCTTGACAGAAAAACCCAATTATCTTACGCCGCCACTACACAAATCATCAATCAATAATATTTACTATATTAACGACTCTTGCCTCTTACGACACCCACGGAATGAAATGGCTTGATCCTCATACACGCCACCACCCTCCGCCAGGCCCGGGCCATCACACAGCAGACTTATTACAGTCATAACTTAATGAAGTGGGAATTCGACACAAAAACTTTTTGTCGCTTAGTCTTAATAGACCGCCAACGCCGCGAGTGTCATAACCCCTGCGTTAATTATGTCGACCCATATCTTATCTTTGCATGTGAACAATTAAATTTTGCTTCATAATTAATGTTCTCGTAATAGCTAATACCGTTTCAAAGTAATAAAGTTTTAAATTAATTAAAATTTCCTTTGTTGTCACACACACGCCTACTTTTAATTACGTTATATCTCATATAAACAAAGATTGTTTCGTGCGAACAGGAAAGTAAATTTTAAATAAAAACTTTGTTCTCTTTTTAATTAATAATTATTCATTATTTATCAATCGCTTAAGAGGGCTCAAAGAATAAAGTGGTTCCAAGTTTTAAAAAAAGTACATGCATTATAGGATCGCGAGAGGTGGATGAAGGAAAGGAACATCGTAAAACAATAAAACAAAAACGCGCCTAAAGAAGTATAACTTTAAAAACTTTTTATTATATGGAAAAGGAGAAATGTTGACTGATCCCTGGGTTTAACACCTTCCCCGGTGCGAGATATTTCAATTCACATATAATTTATTTATATTCCAATGACGACTAAAGTCCATTAACACAGGGTGGTATTTTACAAGAATGATAATTTACCATGTAAAAAAATGCTATTGTTATCAACGCGAAGGAACAATAGACGTTCGAATATAAATCCTAATAGCCACTGCAGAAAATAATTTCCCTAATTGAAAATATACGATATTTGCTTAGTACGGATAGCTTTCAATATAACAATAATTTAAATTATTTTGAATAACAAATCGATAATAGACTGAAACCGTCATGGGATACAACTGTGATGAGCGTGTTCGTCGCTAAGCTTATTAGAAGTTTTCAGTGCACTGTACACAGAACGGAATTATATATGTATGTACCGCGGATCGTGTTGCAGATTTTGTTCTGTAATTAGTAATGCTTAATTGCGATTACAATTAATGATACTATGTAAATATAAATTTAATTTGTCATAATTACCTAACAGAAGCTGTATTATTTTGTGTTTGTACTATTTGTCGTTATGTATTTAATATCAAGTAGTAATTATTTGGTAAGGACTAAATGTTGCCAAAATAAATAAAATAAAAATAAATTATCTTCTTCGTCTTATTATGGATCCTATCTTGCGCTTACGTAGTAACTATCATATTAATTTGTGCTTGCGCTTGCACTGAATGCCTGCAACGACAAACATTTGTGCAATAACACAAAATTTCAGGTTTAAATGTGTATTGATTCCCAGTTTTTGATGTCATTGTGTTGTGCAAAGTCAGACAAAGTAATCTTTAGAATTTTACCTACCACATTTC